CTAACTCGGGAACACAATATCGTAACGGAACGATAACACGCACGTGGAGACGGCGGCGCCTAGAGGCAGGCGTGCGGGTTGTGCGAGCACCAGCGCGGCCACAGCGGCGCCGCGCGCACGCCCCGCGCCAGCAGCCGCGCGCGCTGCGTGTCCAGCCGCAGGTACACGTCGGGCAGCGCGCCCTCCGCGCGGTCCGACCACAGCCGCTCCGCCAGCGCCGCCGCGCGCGGCCACACGCGCGCGTCCAGCCCGCCCGCCGCCAGCTGCTCCGTCCACTGGCACGCCGCGCCGCCCTCCACGCGCCACGCCGCCGCGCCGCCGCCCTCCTCCGTCCACGGCCGGTGCTCGTACACCTGCTGCCACGAGCGGTAGGGCCCGCAGTGGCCGTCCGAGCTGTCGCGCCACGAGCCGAACCCGCAGTCCAAGTACCACGCGTCCACGTGCGACAGTACCGAGCGGAACCCGGCGTCCAGCACCGCGCGGGACTCCGGCCAACGTGAGGAACCCCACACCTGCACGCCCAGGTGCCGCGCGTCCAGCCGCTCCAAGTAGGGCGAGCGAGTCAACCGCGACGACCACAGTAACACCAGCTCTGGCAGTTTGCCACCGTTGGCGCGCTCCAAGGCGTGCAAGGCGCGTCGGGTGAACTCTAGCCACAAGTCCATGGGGTCGGTGTCGTTGAAGTGCTGCGCCCAGCAACGTTCCGAAACCTCGTCTCCCCCTAAGTGGAACAGATCGTCGACCTCTGTTAGCGTGAGAATCTCAGCATAGATGCGTTGCAGTAGGTTGTACACGTGCGGGTTCCTCGGGTTGAGCTGTCCACACGGCGGCTCCCCGCAGTATGCGCTCCAAGGCTCGAGCTCGACGCAGTGCGCGAGCTGTCCGAGTCCAGCACTGGGCCCCCAGCCCCAGGCGCGGCCCACGTGCGCGGGCGCATCTACCTCCAGCAGCACGCGTATGCCGCGCAGCTTGGCGTGCCGCACGATGGCCTTCACGTCGTCGGAAGTGTACACAGCGCCGGGGCCGTACGCGCCGTGCTGCGCTAGCTGTGGCGCGCTGTCCAGTCGCAGGGGGAACGATTGGGAGTCACTCACGTGCCAGTGGAAAGTGTTCATCTTACTCGCAGCCATGGCGTCTATTGTCCGTAGTATCTCCCCAGTCGGGAAAAAGTTTCGCGCTGTGTCAAGGAGAAGTCCGCGATATGGGAACCGTGGTGCGTCGACTACTGTAGCTGCCTCGAGTATAAGCAAGGAGCCCGCGTAAGGGTCCATCCACACAATTTGCGACAGAGTCTCGAGGCCATGGCGTGCGCCACAGAACGAGTGGGCGGTGATGTCTGCCACGAGAGACTTCCTGGAGGGCCGCAGTGTCAGCTTGTAGCTCTCATCTGTGTCGAGGCGCATGCGAGGGTCTGCACTGCCATTGATGGCGACGCGTACGAGTACGTTGCGAGGCGACCCGTAATCGGCAGGGCGGCGCTCGGAGCCTGCGCTTCGCTCCAGTGTGCGCATGTCCTCTTTCATTAGTTCGAAGGCATCAGCGAGATGGTCGGACACGTCGCGTGAAGGTGACGTCACTATTTGGAGCTTAAATCCTTCAGCACGCACAGGCTGCACTGCCGTAGCGAGGCTGACTGCTCCCGTGGGCTGCGGCCAGAGCTGTGTGGAGTCGCACAGCATGTTACAGGTGGGCAGCGACTGCAGCGTCGTTGTCTCCGACGCCAGCAGTCGCTCGCAGCGCAAGTTGCGACACACCCAACTCCATTGTGGTTCTACACCTCTGTGGAAGTAGAAAGGTATTTTTAGTACACAAAACAGTTAGGTGTTTGTCTTCTTATTGGTTTCCGGATCGTTCCAGAGTTTTTTGGAATGCATATGCGTACTTACTCGTAAAGTGCGTGCAGCGGTCGGTGCGCGCGGTCGTCGCTCTGCTGGCGCCAGTACAGCAGCGCCGCGGCCGTGCACGCCGCCGCCGCCAGGAGCAGCAGGGCGCGGCGCATGCGCGCCACACGCGACAGCTGCGCAGACGCACCGCGCCCCAGGCCCTCGCCCCACCACTTCATTGCACTGCCTATCTACGCACCTGAAACAGTCAACAGTAAACGGTTAGGGATGGAGCAAACGAATAAACGAACAAATAAAAATATTTTACACTCCTATGCACTTTACTTTGTACTAAGGACCCTGTAAACCAGTACCCCTTAATATTTGGAGTACAATGAACTTCAGGTTATGTTCGAACCAGCCATATCACCGTACAGTCGGGTAATACAAGACCGGTACAAGCATGAATGAAGAATTTCGGTGACATTATTACGATACGAGGTCAATAAACGTAACTGTTTGGCACGAACCAGTCCAACCAGACACATGTTGAGATCTAGACCTAACTTATATTTATTTAATTTATTAAAAACAATATTTTTATGTAAATGGCTATAAATGAGGAGTTGCATAAACTATTCTTCACTTAGAAAAATTCGAGAACGTTTTTATGTTTTGTATTTTATAAACCTATTCTAAATAATAAGTTAATTTTGAAGTCAAAAATAAAAATGCTACATTATTTTTGCGTGCCATCAAATAAGAAACCTTACAACCTTAACAAGCTAGTAATAACGTCATAATAAAACTTATCCCGTTTGCATTAAACGCTGCATGTTTAAAGTTATTCAATCTTCTAGAAAAGCAGTAAAGTTGGATGCTGTCATGCAGTTAAACATTGCTACGGCATCGGCATTCGTTTTACAAGACAGCGAGGTGTCTATGTGTCTATGTCTAGGTGTCTATATGTCTAACTGTCTATTTCGAGAGAAGCGCTAAAAGGCGTGAGTCTTCGCTTTTAGGTCACTTCGCTTAAATTGGTACAGGGCTTCGCTTTTTGGTGCAGATGTATTCATTTACAATGGCGAATAACAATGAGGACTGTCTTGTCGGTCCAGTAGATGCAAATGTGACTGCTGAGCCGTTACTCTGCAGTTAAACGGAGGTTAGATTCTTGCTGCCGTACAGAGACATTACAGACAATTATTACTTATATTATTCCTTAGTAATAATAAAATGGTGTTCCGAAAACAATTGCTAAGGACTTTGACATTAAATGACTTTGAGTACGGTAGTTAAGGGGCGATTTTTCCAAATCCCGATAAATATTTATTGAGGAATTTAGGATAAATATTCTTTGAATATTTGACAATTCATCCATACTAGAATCTGTCAAATATCAACTTTATTATTCTACAGTTAAGAATTAAGTGATGATTGAAAAATCGGCATTAATACGAGTAAAGTGTTATTAGAGTAATTTGTTTCGTTACTAATAGCGTAGAGTTTAGAATTGTAGGCACCCGGTGTATGACAATAGGCTTACCCTATATTACAATAAGATATATATAATATAAATACTGAAAAGTGAGTGTTTTTAGCATCATCACTGTATATTACCACCTCTGGCTACCACCTAGGCGATAAAAAAGCGTGATGTAATGTTATTAAAGAAACTAGAACAAAGTTAAGAGTTTATTTGTGTCTGTTTTACGAAAGTATTCGCTGTGGACCTGTCTATAAAAGTCAGCTAGTAGCTGCAGATAGCTGAATTCAGAAATAAGTGAACTGAAATTGTGCAGCTGAGGGATATATAAAAACATACAGCCGATTTGAAAACCTCCTCCTTTTTTAAGTCAGTTGAAAATGTAGGTATTAATATAATGAAATAGAGCTCTACTTTAATAATAAGATTCTATGCCACACATCATTGATTTTAATCCTTTAATAACTACTTGGATCATCTATAGTCTACTCGTCGGTGATCCAAATCCCGGCAGTACAAAATACTAGTGTCTGCATGTCTTCATAAAAAAAGATTAATAGGTGAAATACATATAGGTAGTTTTTTATATCTGTCCATCAACCCAAATAAAAACATGAATTAGGAATTTGAGAACAGATCGACTCATGGTAAACAAAAGTATACTTTACTACTATTAATTTAGTACCAACATTAATTTTTTTGGCAATTATCTAAGTACAACACAGCCCAACATCATAAGCATTATAATTTTCTTATAGTTCCTGATCCTAGTACTACTACAGATCAAATGTCATTTGTGGCAAGCAATGGTGTGGCCAACGATGGACCCCACCAGCCTACATATGAGCAACTTATCCCTCGGAACTTGAAGACATCTAAATATCATATCAGATTCAATTTCGATCCTTGTCAAAATCTTTGTTAATTTTTCCATACATTCATGCCTGTGCCTGTTTCCCATGGCGGTAGGCAGATACTATGGAACGCCAATTGCTACGATTCCTACATAACTCTTTCGCTTCATCATCAGTTTTTTCACGCATGCTCGTAGGTTAAGGGTACTTTTAATTTGGACCTTCATAGTTATCTATGTTAATTTTTATATTTAGTTTAATTATCAAATAACGACGTTTTAGTCACGTAATTAACGGCCCGAACATTAATGTTACACATAACAACCTTTGTCTTACTAACAAAATATTTACTTGTGGTGCTTTCAGTACTTTTTTTCTTTCTTTCATATAACATATCAATGAAATAGTTTAAAATCTAATATTGATATCGAACTGGTCCATTTATTTAATAGGTTGGTACATTTGTGGTTCAATTAGTAATTGTTTTGGTTAAAATCAAGTTCTTTCTAATGGTGATAACATTTCTTTTGCAGCAATATATAGTCTTCTCGCGGTCATGGAAGGTCTATTGGGCATCCCAGACTTGACAGGTAAACATCGATCACTTATTTCTTTTATGTAAATTATAATCATCTTAGTGGCGCGGTGCAGTGCGCTTGCTACCTCTTCACTAATTCCTTCTACTTCATTTACCTTGTTATTAAGTCCTGTATTTTAAATGTGTAATGGTTTAATACATGGACTAAGTTAACCCAATCGTCTAACTTCAGCCATCAAATCCTTTACTCAATATGTACTGCTTAGTTCTTACTCTCCGGTGTCTCTCCACAGGTGACAATGGTGTCCAAATACTTTCTACTATTTTTAATTCCGGCGCTCGTCGAGTGTCGGATATCAGTCAAGATAACAGCTGCTGAATCAGAATCAGAAGCTGAGATCGAGTACGCTGGTGAGAATGTGGAAATCATCAGCGACCGGGAACGGGAGACCTTCGACATCGGAGACAGGAGCCTGAAGAGGGCAGTCGATAAGTTTGCCAATTCAGAGCCAACAGATGTGTACGTAAAGAGTCCCACGCCTTGGAATGACGTCTACAAGACTTACAAGTGGGAGCAGGTGAAGAGAGTGCTCCGCCCAATCAGAACGAGAGTGCTAGGAGTGCACACCAAACCTGTCATAGTGGCAACGCGAGAGTTCGAGAACCATAGTGGCATCAAAGCCAAATACAATGCTGCCATCTTCCATGAAATTACGGAGACGTTCTCCAACACCTGGTCGGTTGGAGGAGAGCTCGAAGTTGGACAAGAGATCACATACAGTGTAAACTTCGGTGCAGGGAGCGCCGGAGGAACGACCAAATTCTCTTATGCGGCAAAATGGGGAAATGATACGACCAGGGAGAAGTCTGCCACTCTCGGGTCTTCTACTAGCGTAGAGGTGGAACTGAATCCGGGGCAGGCAGTGATTGCGAGCCTCACGGCTACGCAGGGCACGTTAGATGTTGAGGTGGACTACGAGGCGCGGCTCCAGGGTGTTGTGTTCGCCAACTACCGCAACAAGTACAAGGACCATTACTTCTGGGCCTTCCCAATAACCTCAGTGCAATCCGCTGGAGGTCTACCTCGGACTATCACTTCTACTGAGAAGATTTCTATTGGATTCTACACAAGTGCGCGCGTCGATATCAAAGACAAGGTTACTACCGGTAGATTGAAGGTCGCTCCTGCAGGCTTCGTTAGGACTAAACCACAGCATCTCGGTTAAATAAACATGACTGATAGACATTTTAAAATATAGTTATAACTAATTCAATAGTTTTTTTGTTCTCTTCTAATATAACCCTAGTATCATTGAAAATTGCCTCCTCGCAACCCAGCCATCGCGAAGGACATTCCGGGCGTGGGGATCGCGGGACGTTCTCCGGCCACCGTAAGCGCGGGCCTGCGGACGGCGAGCATGGGTGGCTCACCATCCGACCAGAACCAGACGGACCACCACGGATGGGGCCCAACAGGGCTGATGCCGATTCGGAGTCGCGGAGAACCTAACGGGTTACCGGGGCTCCGGCTCGAAGCGTAGAAGGAACGAGTTGGTTTTTAGTCAGTAAGAGTCTGACACTCCCTCCCGCCTCACCCAGGCGGGAGTAGTCATTCGATGATTTTCCCCTTTAAAAAAAAGTATCACTGAAAATGTTCATAAATAATTTTTCATATGATTTACTTCCTCATAAAGAGTTTGTTGTTGTGCACATCGATTATAAACACTATTGACGCATTCCAATTGAATGTGTAAACAAATCCATTCAATTGAATTGATGAGTAGAAATCGTACGGTGTGAATTGTGAGCCAATCGTTTCTATTAATTTTAATTACAATTTCATACATCGCAACTACTCGTCGTCAATACTAGTCTTCAAAAGTTTACTTATTTATATTAAGATCGCCACATGTGCTTCCGAATGGTCAAATTAGGAAAAAGAACCGTCAGTTTTCTTTAACTCCAGAAATGTTTAATCAAGTTAATTTATCATTATTTATAATAGGTAATCTAATGTAATGTAACCGTTTGCTATCTTTGTTATGAGTCTCTTATTTCAGTCTAGCCTACTTTTCGTCTACACCATATTATTAACATTAAGGTGCAGTTTTACAAAGTTTCTCACAAAATTAATTGACGGTTAACACATGGTATTATGTTCACTATAAAATGTGTCAGTTAAGCTAACAGCAACTTTAATCAGACATTGTTGCCACCATGTATGTTAGTGAACAAAAACACAAAGTTAACATTTTCAATATTTGTCTCCACAAGCATCGCAGTTAAACTTTGGGCGCTGTTTTAAAACCTCTTTATAATACTATGTAGATATAACATAACATCACGCATTTTATCCCCGATGGGGTAGGCAGAGGTGCACATTACGGCACTTAATGCCACTGTACAATGTAACACCCACTTTTCACTATTTATGTTTTGAGTCCCATGTAATAGCGGGTGAGCCTATTGCCATATACCGGGCACAATTTCAGACAAAATATTTCATGGACTCTGTGTAGATTGACATGGGGTTTTTTTAGGTTTACTAAATCAGTTTGTAGTGAACTACAGTCTATAGAATAGTTGGTATCGAATTGAAAAGCGTACGAGTTGAATGAAAAATATTTTTGCATGCAACTTTTTTTAAAACCTCTCTGATTCGTATAGGTATTGAGTATCGAGTTTAGAATCTGGTATAATCCTTTTTGAACTCCGTACATAGAGCAGCATGACCAGACCATGTAAGTCTTAGGTTAAGAACACGGTCCAATTTTTAACCGATTTCAAAAAATTGTGGTTCTCAATTTGTCCTGTATGTATTATGTGTGTGCGCGATTATCTCGCGATTGGCTGAACCGAATTGCGAAATGCGGTTTTCCGTAAAGTGTTTGGTTAAGTACCTGGTTAGTTTTTTTTTATGGTATAAGCCGGTAAATGAGCAGAAGGATCACCTGATAGTAAGCAATCGACGTCGCCCATGGACACCTGGAACACCAGAGGCGTCACAAGGGCGTTACCGGCCTTTTGGGATTAGGAGTTTGAGGATCGTTGGGGATTCAGGAATTGGGGAGATTGGGGAAGGGGAGGGTAATTGGGCCTCCGGTAACCTTACTCACACGACGAAACACAACGCAAGCGTTGCTTCACGTCGGTTTTCTGTGAGGCCGTAGTATCCATCCAGTCGAGCCGACCCATTCGTGCCCAAGCATGGCTCTCCCACACTTATTTTATTATTATCCAACAGTATAACGACAGTTCTGTATAATTTTACTACCTAGTCCGTCTTTCAGCGCCTGTTTCCACCACATTTATACCCGATTATGTGACACATAGTTTATAGAAATTACGTTCTTAATTCCTGGTACATAGCGACTATCCAGACATCGTGAAACAGGCCCTGAGTCTTTTTTCAGTATTTAACTACAAAACAATTGTGTCATGATTCCCGTCACATAATTACGCCTGCAGTGGTGCAGTGGTTAATTGCGCTTTGTATGGTTCAAGGATCGTTCCATATGGCTCAGTAACTGCTCTTCATTCACGCTACATGCATGGCTCATTACCCTCGCGAGAAAGTTTTCATGTATTTTAAATCGCATTTTATGAGTAGACACTGTGACTTATTGCTTTTAGAAGGGAGAACTAAGTCCAAAACAAAAGGTTTTGTAAATTGTGCCAACTATAGTCAAATTCAATACTTTTTTCGAACTGTCAATAACTAGAGTTTTCTATAAATTTTGTACGAGATTTGTGTATAAGTGACGTCACGTTATTTTAGTGTTAAACGGCATAAGTATTTCTTAAAAATTTGCTGGAAAAACACTAAAATTAAATTAGTCATAAAATCAATTAATGAGAGTGTGATTATTTTTTAATATTTTACTGTACTATTCAACAGTAAAAATAATTAATTATTGATAAAGGAAAGTACCCAATTTTTATCGAATTGACATTCTACAAAATGGCCTATATGGTGTAAAATGTAATTGAATAATTCTTTTTGTGTCGGATAGTTATGCTTAGCTATTTATCGAAATAGGTTATGGGTTTATAACACATCACGAAACCTTCAATAGGAGCCGAGCATAGCGGGTGAAACCGCGCTGTGTACTTAAAACATTGTATGTACATGAAACAATGATAATGAATCCCAATGTTTTTTCGGTCATCACATCTGTGATTGCTGGACTATTTTCACTAAATCTTTTTGTTGTGTTGGTTTTGGTTGCCACCAGGAGTATGTGTACTATGTTCTTATGTTATTTTCGTGCTCTGTGAGCATGATAGAAAAGGCGATTAGTACACCGCAGCCAGCTGTTGGCTGCGCTTTTTAACAACAGACCAACAGTACACACAAAACTAAAGACATATTACCATAGTATTGTTGGTATTCGTAGTGGAGTTACTCCCCACCAAGTGTGGGATTAAAGGTTTTTGTACGGATTAAAACGAGCTGAATACTTCGTATGAAAATAGGTATGTTTCTTCAACTAAATTCGGTTACATAATATCAGTTCTAGAGTCCACTTTTCGCTAGGTTACAATCTAAATCAGCCTGCAAACTGTCCCACTTCTGTGCAAAGGATTCTTCTCAAAGAATGAGTATTGATTACCACGCTTACAGTATCGTAAAATAGCAAAACTTATTTTTTTTACATCCTTTGTAGATGTAAATGTAATACTACTTATTTAATTAATCATTTTTAACAATATCATTTATACGACTCACTGTCACGAAAGCATTATCATGTTATATTTAGAAGTCTCCAGAACATATTTTGCCCAACTATTACAACTTTCGGGAACATTTGCAATTGCTATAAGTGGTTTGGGAGAGTTGCATATTTGATATCCGAATTCACTGACCCTTGCCGGAGCGGGTCCGCCTCGCTAACTTACAAGTACCAATTATGCAATGGAATTTGAACCCTACAACGAAATGGACATAAAGATTATTTTGCCCTGTCTGGCACACGTTTGTAGTACTTAATTCAATTTCCTGTAATAGGGAAATAATCTGTACGAAATTATATACAGAATGGACATTATTAAGTTTGTTTGTGAACTGCTATTTTCGTTAGCAACATACAAGAGATGTATGTATACGTATGTTAGACTCTTATGTCGGTATGGTGCTTATAATGTATAAGACTATTGTTGGCCTTGTGGTAGTTTTTCCAGCTTTGATTTACGTGTTCCAACGTTTGATATTTAAGTTATATTCAATTAGAACGGGCAGTGGGGCTGACTCCATTAATATTGTTCCACCCTAAGGTAGGCTGGCGGTGAATGCCCTTTTGTGCTAATGTGCAGAAGTATAAAAAAAAATGTGAACAGGTACGACATGTTTGCCTGATCATATGATATGAATAAGAAACAGTCATACTATAGGAGAACAGAACGTTTATCTACACATGTATCTATTGTAGAAACTTTTGATAGCTCCTACCCAACGTTTCCTATCTAAATATTTAAAATACTCCATTGAAAGCTACGTGTACATGTTACTTTGTATTTTTTGGCAACTTGAAGGCCTTAGGAGTCTTTTAAGTTAAACTTTCCATGAATACATCAACCCCTTTTCATTCCCTATTATAATGGGGTATTCATAGGTTTTTGTGAGAGTTACCAGGTGCACATAAAGTATGCAGTGGTTGAACGCGGTAAGTTCCGCGGGGTGACGTACGACGCTTGTAAATTTTATTGCGTCTTGGCAGTTTCTTGTTTTAATTAACCTACAAATTAAGATGGGAATGGCGATATAGAGATGCATATATGGTTTTAGTTATGTTATGTGTATTAATAATCTATTTACCTCAAATTGACCGAGTGACAATAAAACTGAAGTTATTGATCATAGAAATGTTAACATTGAAGTGTTGTAAATGAATAAACTTACATATAACAATAATAATGGCCAAACGAAGAAGTGTTGAGACCAATATAAAGTACCAGGGCAGCAGAAGAGTACGACAGCTTCGCTAGCACTAGTCGCGTTGTTAACACTATTTTATTTATACATGCCTAGCCGAAGCGCAGGCCATCCTGCCATTCTCTAGGGAACCACCACCTGCACTTGTGCAAGTCAATATACTGAACCGCCTGTCATGTAGGGAATACAAGTTTTGATATGAAACTATAATGAAAGGAAACTCTATTAAACTGATTTATAAACAGCGTTCTACGGCCATTGATGCCTAAATGGAATTTTGGTTAATTTTAGTTA